GGATCAGTGGCACACGTTCACTGCTGGTGCTTTCATGGTACAGAGTTAGCTTCTGGAAGCTTTGCTCTGCAGTTGCCTTTGGACTTGTATCTCATGCCTCCATCTTCAGTAGAAACATGCCCTTRTCCTTGGTGGGTGCATGTGGCAAGCAAGAATAGCCTAACATCACTGGGGATCATTTCTGTTGCAAAGGGAGGAGMTCCAACTGGAGAATTCAGCTTGGGGCCAACCTCCCAGGCCTTTTATAAATTAATGTCTTTGATTCATGGGCCTATAAACTGGCTCTGAAGAGGGGTTCTAGGAACATGAATAACATCAGCGCTGTGAACTAGGTAGGAAGATAACGAACAGAAGAGATGGACTCTCTGAAAATAGAAGTAATGGCCTGTCTCAAAGAAATCCACTTTCAGAACTTTTTTAAGAATTTTCCTGAAAATTTAAATGGAGAGGAGAGGCTGTTCCTGAATTCATTCTGGCAGACAAAAGAGATGAATGCATTTAAAAGTAGATGAGGGCTGGGGATATGCTTGCCTCATCCACACAAGGCCCTGGGTGCACTCCACAGCGCCACACACACACACAAAAGTGGATGAGTTTGCRGGTTGGGGCTGAAAGGAGGCACACTGCAGAGTAATCTTTTAGTTGTAGAAAATCAGTGCATACTTTAAAGGTTTGATTGGTCACATCCAAAACAAGGGTCATGTGTGTCAGGAGTGGTGGCGCACACCTGTAATCCCAGCTACTCGTGAGACTGAGTCAGAAGGATTGCAGGTTCAAAGCCAGCCTCAGCAACTTATACCCTCTGCAACTTAGTGAGACCCTGCTTCAAAATTAAAAAAATAAAATGGTCTGGGGATATGGCTCAGTGATTAAGCGCCCTAGGTTCAATCCCGGGTACCAAAAAAAAACAAGGGTCATGTTGAAATAAAAGAGATTTGAAGTAGAAGAAATGGGAAAGAATACATGGAAAGTAGAGAGTGAGAATTCAGGAGGTTTGATTTGTGTCAAATCCTGAAATACAGCGAGGTCCCAACTGCCTTTGTGGCCCAGGTTCCACTGTGCTAGCATTTTCTTAGAAGGGCTGGGACGAAGGAGATCTGTCCCCTTTCTGTCTACTTTCCCATCTTCATCACTGGCAGGCCTCCCACAGAACAGGGCAGAGTCAAAAAGCAACTAACCCCAGCCCACTCTGCACTGGCCCTTGCGTATCCAGGGCCTGAGAGCTRCTGGGAGTGGAGGCCTCACAGAGCTGTCCTTATGTGGCTGAGCTGCGCCATATTTTTCCACTCGCCGTCTCCAGCCCTGTGGAGTCTGCAGTGGGAGGGAGGACAGGTGTGGGAACTGTCACCCCACGGAGCAGCCTTGAACCCACACCTGCGCTCAGCCGAGCCCCAGCGGAGCCTCACCCCCCRTGGCTGGGTGGGAAGCTGCAGGCCTCACAGCCCCTTCACACTGTGGCAGCCATCCTGTCGTGCATCTTCTCCCTAGAAGAAGGCAGCAGGGTCAGCCTTGAGCCAAACCCAGAGGTCTGACATCAAGCAGGGGGATGTCTGGAAAATGGAAAGCTTTCAGAGTTCCACRTCATCAAACATGACAGTGTCATGAACTGGCTAAGTAAACTCATTCAGTAATCTATCATTGAATGGTTTGGATCCCTGAGGGCAAAGAGATCCAAAGAGGGTACAGAGCAGAGCAGAGGACCAGCCCTGCTCTCAAAATACTTAAAACAGGGGCTCCTGTTCACGGCCCTGCACGGGTAGTCGGGCCTGGAGAAGGCGTGCCATCTTCACCAGCAGATCAGCCAGAGAAAACCAGGCCAGAGGCATGGCGGAAACGCACATTTTCACCCATCGCCACTCAGCGTACTGCCTTTCAGTCTTTTTAGAAAGCAGTGTGATATTCTSTAGCCTGTAGTAGACTCAGAAGGACGCAGCAACCAGTGGAAATGGGTAGTAGGAGAAGGGAGGTGGATGAACGACTCCCAGCACCTRGCTGAGGCACAGGGGAGGCATGATGCTCGATGTGAGGAAACAATGAGAATTTAATTTTGAACACATCTGAAGTAAATCCCGTGAGACACCAAGGAGGAAGCTGCTTAGAGAATCTGGAATTCAGAGACAGAAATCTGAGCCAGAGGTGCTTGGCACTGGGACATTTGGACACTAGGGCTTTGGTAGTGTAGGCAGCAGTAGCATGGTCTATAGAGAAGAGACAAGAGTGCAGTGATTCCTACAGACGCCTGACTCTTGGAGCAAATTGGGGGTCTGGAATAGATTGGTCAGGGCGGAGCCCAGGTATTCGTTTTTTAAAATACTTCCAAGGTGATTCTCCTGTGCACCCAGGCCTGAAAATCATTGTTGTAGGATTTGGGGAAAGAAGGAGTAACCAGAG